TGCAGGGTTGGAGCCGGCCGAGGCACGGCTACTGGGCCAGCGCCGCTGGCGGCCGCGGTCCTGTTCGAGCGTCCGGCCATGGCCGAGTACCTACTCGACGACGTTGCGGTTGATGTCGAGTCCCGCGCCCGTGGCGACGACTGGGCCCACACCCTCACTCCGCTGCTCCTTGCCGCCCACGTCGGCCACGACGCTATGGCCGACCTACTGCTTGCCCGCAACGCCGATCCGGCTGCCACCACCATCGGCCGCGATGACGGCGAGCTCGACGCCGCCGCCGTCGCTGCTGCCGCCGGCCACGATGCCCTTGCCGCCACCCTCTCAGCCGCCGCCGCGCCCAAGGTTCCGTCCCCCGCTGCTGCCGATGCGAGCCCGGCTGGCACAGCAGAACTCACTCCTGCTGTACCAGCTGCAGCTACGGCTGCTCCGATTCCGGCCGCGATACCGGTCCCAGAGTCTGGCTCAGGGTGAGCGACAGCGTCGAGCCACGACCACGGCCACGGCCATAGCCATAACCACCGCCATAGGCACACACACCTATGCACACACAAATCTTAACACATAGACACATACGCATACTCGAGGTGTTTGTCAATGACTGGCTCGGGACCAAGCTGGCAGTGCTCTTGGCGACACGGTCGGCGAGCTCAAGCTGGTGATTGCGTCACAAACGGGCCCGCAGCCGATGTGCATCCGCCTGCAGAAGGCTGATCGAGTGTACAAAGATCACATCATACTCGCCGACTACGAGATCCCCGATGTGTTCAACTTTGAGATGTTCTACAACTAAGTTGTGATGCATGTTTACGGCGACCCAGTTCCGCGTGACCACGACTTGCTGCGGGCGGACCTGGTGCGCTGCAGCAGGAACGGCGGGTTCGGCCACTCGCTCGGTAGCTTGCCGACCGCGGCCCCGTGCTCCTCCGCTTTCAACGATTCGACGAGAGCGATCCACTCGCTCTGTCTGCCATTGTCGACGGCTTGGTACAGCTCCATCACGCCACCCAACGCAAATACGTCGTGCGCAACCGCCATGATGGCTGTTGAGTTGACACAACCAGGCGCGCGTGACCCGTCGCGCACCACACGGAGACGTGCCGGGTACACGGTTCCGACCGGCCGCGCAAGGTCAAAGTCAATGAGGTAACCTTTGCCGTTGTTGCCAAAGACAATGTTGCTACGGCGGACGTCGCCATGGACAATGCCCGCGGCATGGAGCTTCTTCAGCCGGGCCGCCACGTCGTCAAAGTGGGCCGTAGTCACGCCCGTGTCGTCGACCTCAACATCGGTCACAGCCTTGGTGACAACGACAGCAACATGACCAGGTAGCGCCTCGACCGTCTCGTTGTGGGGTCCGTGGAGAACGGTGAACGCTTTGTCGACCACCATCAAGCACATCCGCAGCTCGGGCGACACAATCGTCCACGCATCCAGGTTCGGCCAGCAGCGGGAGGAGGGGCGGAACCACTTGAAGACAAATCCAGCGACAACCGCCACGTTGGGCCCAAACTGCTGCGGCGCAAGGCTTGGGTCCGCCAGGCGCTTGACCATGATCTGGGTTACCTCGGACATCGAAACTGCAAAGCCGGCCACAATGTCCACGTACGATGTGAGCGAGTCGGTCTTGAGGAGGCCCACAGCTACATGCTGCACCTGGTTTTCGCCGACAAGGTGGGCTGCAAGTTGCAGCGAGATGTTGGCGCCGGAGTTTTCCGGCGTGGGAAACGACCCAGAGAGTGAGAGGATCGAAATCACAGCAGGGTAGCCAGCAGCAGCCAGCCCCAAGGCAGAAGCGTACGCCTCGACTTGTCCCCCCTTGGAGGAACTGCCGGGCTCAAAGATGCCAAAGCCGAGCTTGACCTGCTGGGAGTGGAGGCCCCAGAGTACGTCCGGCTGCGCGTTGCGGAGTACCGGGTGTTCGACCCACATCCACGTCCGCAATGGGCTTCGGTTGAACACAACAGCATCAGCACTGCGTGCGTCCGAGGAACTGGGATCATGCGAGTCTTCGCGGCTCTCGCGCGCATTCGTCACCCGAACCGGAATCTGCTCCAGTTGCGGGTTGGTCAGTTCTTTCTCCGCCTCGATCATCGCGGCAAGCAGCTCGGTTGCCCGACGGTTTGAGTCTGGACGCGACGACGACGATCCGGACTGGGCCAGCTCCGACGTGATAGCGGCCAAACGCGTTGTTGCGCGCTCGACTGATGTCGCGCTGGCAATGACCTTGTCGAGATCTGCTCGATTCTGCAAGCAAAAATCCAAAGCACTGGCCGTGTGCTTGGTCAGCTCCGTGTCACTCGGAAAGGAAGTCGAGATCTCGTCGCCAAGAAAGACGTACAGCGACGACGTGAGCTCCGAGAGGAAAGTGCGTTCGAGATGGAAGGTCTGCATTGGGTCAGCATCAAGCCCGACACACGGGCTAGAGCTGGAGGTGAAGACCAGAGGCCAGAGAGATTGGGTGATGTCACGCACAGCCTTTTGCATAGCAGCCTGCAGGTTACCAACGCGGCTAAACATTCCCAGGGCGACGTTGTGGTCGAGCTCGACAAACTGGCGAATGGGCGGAGAGGCAGCAGCGCCACTGCCGAGGTCTCCCGGCCCACTGGCAAGATCGGCCACGGACAAAGCTCCACTGCTTGCCGAAGGTGACTGGCTCTCCTGCTCCGGCCATCCAACCATCTTCAGGTGCCCGGTCACCAGCAGAGGGTAGAGTGCTGCCGGATCCGAGACCGGCGATAGGTGTGACGCAAAGCCCTTTGCCCTAGACTTGGAGGCCGCCCCGTGCGGCTGAATAATGCCGATCTGCGGGTGGAGCTTCTCGTTAGCCGGCGAGGCATGGCGCAGTTTGGCCTCGAGCATGACAACCTTGGCCTCGAGCACGACAACCTTGGCCTTGGCCACCCCCAGTCGCTTCGCGCAGTTTGGCCTCGAGCACGACAACCTTGGCCTCGGCCACACCGATCTTGGCCTCGGCCACCCCGACCTTGGCCTCGGCCACGTCGGCATCCGTTGCGACTCCAGCATGCCGTGCGCCAATCACGGCTGACGTGGCCGAGGCCACGTCGGCATCCGTTGCGACTCCAGCATGCCGTGCGCCAATCACTGCCTCGTGCCTAGCCTCGGCCACCCGACCTTGGCCTCGGCCACCCCGACCTTGGCCTCGGCCACCCCGACCTTGGCCTCGGCCACGTCAACCCTGGTCTCGGCCTCGTCGACCTTGGCCTCGGCCACTTCGACCTTGGCCTCGGCCACTCCGACCTTGGCCTTGGCCACCCGGATCTCGGCCTCGGCTATGCGCACCTTGGCCTCTGCTGCCTTCTCCCCTTTCCCTCACTCATGCAGCTGTCGTACGCCGCCAGGGCAGAGTGGTAGTTCTTGTAGGCCGTTTCAACTCCCCTTCTTGCCCTGCATGCATCCTTCCGCGACCTGGCCGGTGAGTGTCTCCTCGCGGTGCTTCGCGCCAACTACGACCTTTTTCTGTACCCACTCACCCCTTGCCTTCCCCCATCCACCCCCATCCCACCCCCAACCACTCCCCCACCCAGCCACAAGAGCACCTACATGTCTTGGAGCAAACTCACACTCATTGTTCAACCATGAACGAGAGAGGAGTGGTGTGTGTGTGTGTATGTGCCCGGGGTCTCGCGAGCCGCCTGATCACCCGCCTGATCACCCGCCTGATCACCCGCCTGATCGCCGCCTGATCGCCTGCTGATCGCCCGCCTGCAAGGCTTGTCGCCTCGTGCCTCCATTGCCAGCCTTTTCTTGTTCGAAGCGGCGTCGCCATGCTGATGACCACGTACGTAGCAAATACGTGTCTACGAAGCGATCATCGTAGATGCGGGGCTTGTCAGGGAGAAGTAGATCAAACAGCGCGACGCGCATGTCGCGGTTGTCGTCGAGGATAGTGGCGATGCGAGGCGCAGAGCATGGCTCGAGCCTGTCCGACAGTCTATGAGAGGTAAAGTAGTCAACGTCGTCAACAGGAGAGATCGGCTCGATGGCCGCGATCTCGTCGTAAATCTCGAGCAATTCGTCGTCGCCCATCAAGTCCAAGCCCAAGAAGCGGTGTGCCATTCTCCGAGCGCATCGGACGATTACCTCCTCTCTCACCCTTCCTTAACCCTCTGCACGTCTATGAAACGACAATGCTCCCTGCCTATTCTTGCTACTGTTGCGCCCACCGCTCGGCCGCCATCGAGCCGGGCACCGGCTTGTATCACTCCGGATGGTCAAGCGACAGAATATAGCGATAGTCCATGAACAGCTCGGCAGTGTCGACGTCAATGTCGCGAGTCGCGAGCATGACCATGCCTTGCTGGATGATGCCCAGTCCAGCTGTGGTCTTCAGCGTCCTCTGCTTGCGCATTGAATCATCCTAACCCCGCCGGTCACCGCACCCCCCCCCCCCCCCACACACACACACACTGACACATCGCCTTTAAAAGCACACTCACATCGGCACAGCCACTTGTCCAGGCGTATGAAGTGATCCGTCAACAAACCGTGTTGTTTCGCTCAGCGACGATGGCTGCACCGGCCGCAGCGGTGAGAGCTCGTTACCGGTTCCGCTGTACACCATGACAGGCGGCGACGACGACATCGAGACCCGAACGGTAAAGTCTTTGCCAACACGTCCCGGTGGCAACATCGCCCGCCGTATCGGAGCTGGTGTCATCGCCGCGGCCTTGGCTTTGGCCTTGGCTTTGGCCTTGGCTTTGGCCGTCGCTCGCTGCGCCCGCTCGCGCGCCCGTGCCATCGCCCGCTCGGCCTTGGCTTTGGCTTTGGCCTTGGCTTTGGCCTTGGCCTTGGCTTTGGCCCGAGCCCGGTCCTTGGCCCGAGCCGCCTTTTGCGCCATTTGCTCCGCTGGGCTCGGCGAGAGCATGTCGAGCGAGGCCAGCAGCTCATCGACAGTGGTGTCAGCAGGCTTGCTCGTCCGCACCGAGGCCGCCAGCTCGGCGATCTGTGCGTCTTTGGCAGCAATTTCTTGCTCGGCCTCGCGCAGTTCATCGACAGCCTCAGCCAGCATGCTGCGATGGGCTGCCTCGAGCTCGTACGCTTCGTTCCGCTGACGCACGAGATCGGCTACCTCCTCGACCATGTTCTCGGTCTCAACACTTGCCTCGGCCTCGGTCTGGGTCCCTGTCTCGATGGAGGGTGGCGGCTCCGGACCGGCCTTGGCCACAGCCACGGCCAACTTGCGCTCTACCCGCGCAATCTGTGCCTCGCTCTCCTCGCGAATCCGTGCGGTCTCGGCCTTGGCAGCACGCGCAGCCGCACGCGCATCTCGCGCCTCGCTCATTGCCTCCAGAAGCTCGGTCTGGATCGCGGCCTCCTCGGCCTCGGACGCCTCCAGTCTTGCTTTCAGGCGCGCCATGTCGGCGCAGACTGCATCGCACTCGCCAGTTGCCTCGGCAAGACTTGCCTCGGCCTTGGTCGCTCGTTGCTTAAGCGCAGCCACTCGCTCTGCTGCCGTCTCGCGGCTCTGCTCAAGCATGGCCTCGAGATCAGCAACCCGGCGCTGCGCAGCGGCAACCTCAGCCTCCAGAACCTCGGTGGGTGCTTCGCGCACGGCGGCCAACTGCTCCAACGTGGCCAGATCCGTTTGCATGAGCGCATTGTCACGCTCGAGAGTGTGCACTTTGTCGCGCAGAGCACGCTGCTCTGCCGCAGCTGCCGCTGACAGCTCTTCACGAACGAGGGCGATTGCTGCGTCATGGCTGGCCTGACTCGAGACAAGCTGTGATTCGAGCGCTGCAACATCATCGCGCCGGGCCGTTTCGACCCGCTCCAGCTCGGCGCGCATGTCATCGGCAGCGCGCGTCAGTGCTTCGATCTCTGCAGCTCGCTGCTCCAGCTGCTCGTGCAAGTCGCGGGCTGCAGCTTGCTCCTCCAGCGCCAGATTCCTTTCCCGCGCCGCTTTGAGCTCCAACCCTACAGCTGCAACCTGTTCGGCAGCAGCAGCTTTTGCTGCGTCGAGTGCCCGGCTGTGCTCCTCGTCGGCAAACTCCAGCTTCTGTTCCAACTCGCCAATCGTGCCCGCGGCATCAGCAAGCGCAAGTGCCTGCTCGAAATTGCTTTTGCGGAGGTCTGCCAGCTCCTTTTCAGCACGCGGCTTTGACACCCGGTTGTAGTCATTGCCAGCGGTGCCCACAAGCTCGCCGAGCGACGAGTTGCTGTCGGCCTCGGCCAGCGATGGGCTGTTCTCTGCCACTAACGACTCATCCTTGGCATCAGCAGCGACCACGCTCGACGAGTCATTGCCAGCGGTGGCCACGAGCTCGCCGAGCGACGAGTTGCTGTCGGCCTCGGCCAGCGATGGGCTGTTCTCTGCCACTAACGACTCCTCCTTGGCATCAGCAGCGACCGCGCTCGACGAGTCATTGCCAGCGATGGCCACGAGCTCGCCGAGCGACGAGTCGCTGTCGACCCCGGTCAGCGATAGCCTGTTCTTGCTCTCGGCACCAGCAGCCACCGTTTCGGGGGCTTCAAGCCGTACGCCACTCTCAGATGCATCAGGAGCAGCCACAGGTGCCCCCAGTGACAGAACGCGTTCAGGCTCAACAACAGGAACAGCCACCATAGGCAAGGACGTGCATGGCTCGCCCTCGTCCGAGGTAGTTGACGAGTCGCTGGTGGCAGCAGCGGCACTAGCAGCAACAGCCATGGCCTCGAGCTCGGCCATTCTGTCGCGGAGATCACGGAGTTCGGCCTCGAGCAGAAGCGACTCGTCGGATGGCCTTGCAGCCTCGGTCTGGGCATGCGCAGCAAGGGCCTCAGCGGCCTTGCGCGCAGCTTGCTCCTTAGCCAAGCAAGACTCCAGCTCAGCGACGTGTGCCTGCAGCTCAGCGATGGCCTCGTCGCGAGCTTGCAAGTCGGCCGCCAAAGGTGCAGCAGACTCGGCAGGCGCAGCCGACTGCGCCAGTGCCAGTGCTGCATCGCGAGCCGACTCGGCAGCACGGAGCTCGGCCACCAGCTCTTCGCGTGAAAGCACAGCTTCTTCACCGGCAACCCGGGCGCTGTCGAGCGCAGCGGCCAGCTTTTGCGAGCGCTCCTTCTCGCTAGCAATGTGGCGCTCAAGCGCCGCCAGCCGCTCTCGCATCGCGTCGTCGCTCTCAAAGTACGCTCCCAGCACTCGGTCCAGCCGCGGCGCAATGGCGTCGAGCTCGTCGCTCGCTAGATCGTCGAGCGCCTCATCGCTCGTCATCAAGCTTGCCCCCTGTCCGCCTCGGGCGCCGTAACCCGGCCGACCTCGGCGGCCGCGGCAGCGGCGCGCTCGTCAAGCAGACTCCGCAGCTCGTCAGCCTCGACAATGGCGTCGACCCGATCGGCATGTGACTCAGCAAGCAGCTGTTGCAGGGCAGTCATGGCCTCTTCACGCTGTGCGGCCTCGACCTTGAGGCGGCGCGCCAGCGCAGCATGCTCGGCTAGCACCTCAAGATGCTCGCCGAGGAGAGCCACAGCATCGTCCGACTCGCCCCGAGCGGCCGCCGCCAGCTGCTCCAGCGCATTCTCTAGCGCCCGCACTGCCCCGCCGACCGCATCAACTGACGCATCCAGCCTGCTCCCCGCCTGTCCGGGCGTCAGCGCCTGTGCCACCTCGGCCAGCCCGGCCAAGATCGACGTGTGTGGCGACGGCCCGGAGCTCTCCGAGTCGGGGCCATCGCCATCACCATCTGCTGCTCCGCCCTCATCCCATACTCTGCCGCCCATCGCACCACTCCGATCCCAGACAATGCCACCCGATCCCTCGCCCGGCCCGTCGCCTGTCCTGTCACCCAGCCCGGCGCCCAGCCCATCGCCGTCGCCGTCCGACTCAGACTCGCTCAACACTATGTCCATCGACGCGCCTGGCAACTACCCGCCCACGACGTATGGCCCGTTCCCTGCCGCTCTCTCTGTCTATGCGTGCGGTGTGTGCATACGCCACCCCTCCCTCCCCCCCCCCCCCTTCCCCGCGGCACTGTCCGCCCTCCCTCACCGCCTGTCCGAACGGCCGAATTGGCGCCAATGGGCCCAATGGCCACCCAAAGTGGCAAAGGTCGAATGGCCAGGTCACACCAGGTTACGCCAGGTCACGCACGGGCCAAAGACACGATCTGGGATGGCCGCAACCGGAGCACGACCTGCGAGCACAGCCAAGGGGAAAGGCATGGCTGGGGTGCTCCGTCAAAGGGGGGAGGGGGCGGGGAGGGTGGAGAAGAGTTATTTCA